CTTCCATTCAGCCGGGGTTTATGACAGGTAAACATGTAAGTAAGTACAAGTTAATATGAGGAGGAAGAGAATCTCAATCCATCAACAATCGGGGAAGAGGAGTCAGGAAAGGCAGCCTACGGAAGCTGGCACCTGAGCTGAACCTTGACAGAATATTCTAAGGGGCGAAGGTGAGGAGGGAATGTATTCTAGGTATGGGGAACATTTTGTGCAAAAGTATGAAGGCACAAGATATAATAACAAATTTAAAGAACAGCACAGAGACCAGTTTGGCTGAAACATAGGACATGTGAAGGAATAATATGAAATCATCCTAGAAAAGCAAGCTAAAGCTAGATTAGGAAAGGCTTTAAATGCCAAACTGAGGCATTTATACTTTATTCTAGAGGCAACAGAGAGATAATTGGACCAGAAGAGTGATATCAGTGATACTGAAATGTCTGAATCATACTTGGCCTTTATTTAAACACACATATGCATTCACTGATGGCCTTCTGCTAAACATATGGATGTATTGCTGCTTTCCAGTGTTCCAATTTTCAATGTCCCATTTTAAAGATGAGGAAACTGAGACCCAGAGAGGTCAAGTCACTTCTCCAAGGTCACATAGGTAATAAATGGCAGAGGCAAATTTTGACACAGGTGCTCTGACTCCAAAGCTAATGTTCTTCCTACTGGACTATGATGGAAAAGAACAGCTTAAAACTGATAGACTTTTGGCGGTAACTTACTTATTTCCTATTATGTTAAAATTTGTTGCTGTTATTCAGTCATTTTTCAGTTGTGTCTGATTTTTTGTCACCCATTTGGGGTTTCTTGGCAGAGATACTAGAGTAGTTTGCTATTTCCTTCTCTAGCTCATTTTACAGATGAGGAACTGAAGCAAACAGGGTTAAGTGACTTGTCCAAGGTCACACAGCTAGTTAGTATCTGAGACTAGATTTGAATTCATTTTTAAATAATGGGCCAATTTAATTCAAAGCATTCAGATTGGGGTCCTAATTGCTTTTTCCATGAGCTGGGCCTTATTTGTTCTTGTTGGTTTCTAATTACAAGAGGCAATGGACAGATCCCTGAGTTTGGAATCGCAGCACTTATTTGAAAGTCCAGTTCTGCTCCTTACAAACCTGTGCAGCCTTGGTCAAATCCTTTAACTTCTGTAGGCCTCATTTTTTAATCTATAAAATGAGAGGTTTGACTGGATGACCTGAGGTCTCTTCCATCTCTAACCTTTTATGGAGAGATTGGAAAGTATAGTTATATTGTTGACTCTGGTCATTGTTACAAAAGCATTTAAAAGCAAGCTCCTAAAAATGTTGTTTAACAGAACAGTGACATATCCCACAGGGAGCTGTCTTAATAGAACTCTCCTTCAAATCTAGTTAAGATAAGTCATTCTGACAATCTATGTCAGAAATGTCTGTGAAGTGCACACTGGCTTCTGAAGGAGAGAAAGTTTTCTCAGGGGAAGGAGCAGTAGACAGGAAATTGAATTCAACTTAATACTGTTTTGGAACAGATTTTGACAACCTGTGAGGTCAAATGAGGTTAGATGATGACCACTAGAAAAGTCTAGTCCAAGCAGCAGGTAGAAGATATAATCCTCTTGATATAATTAAGGTAAACTCAATAGAGTGGAAATAGAATTTCTCGACTTGGGTTATTTGGAATGCAGCAGATATTTTTGCATTTCTCTATGTGAAAGAGTACAGCTCTTATAGTAAGAGAATCCCATGCTACAACAGGACAAGTTATCCTTTCAAGGGTATTATGCTTGTTTTAGCTTCCACCCTTTTCTGGGATCACTCCATTAGAAGGAGGATTTTAGTCTCACCTTGAAAGAGTGACGGGCCCTTCATCCCTGGAGATGGAGCTCATATCCCCTGGATTTAGTTACATAACAATAGACTCCATGTTAATTCAGGATGACCAAAACCCTCAATAATCCTTCCCACTATGGAGGGGATCACCGGATCAGGGGAGCAATGCTCAAAAGTTGGGAAGAACCTACAACCTCCTTTTAAAGATGAGAAAACTGAGGCCAAGAGAGGTGAAATACCTTGCTAAGATCACATAGGTTCTAGGGGCAGCTAGGTGGTGCAGTGGATAGAGCACTGGCCCTGGATTCAGGAGGACCTGAGTTCAAATCTGGCCTCAGACACCTAACACTTACTAGCTGTGTGACCCTGGGCAAGTCACTTAACCCCATTGCCTAGCCAAAAAAAAAAAAAAAGATCACATAGGTCCTTTCCTTACAGCCTGACAGAGCTAGAATTTGAACTCAATTTGATTCCAAGGTCAGCATGCTTTCCATTGGACAACTAGACTACACTGTTCTTTGGTCATGGAAATATTCTTGATAGTTCTTGAGGCTATCCAAGAATACTAATTTTTTTAATTAATTAAATTAAATTAAATTTTGGTATTAATTAAATTAAATAAGTATTTTAATAAAAAATCCCTATTTTTTAACCATGGTGTACTAAGAGAGATTAATGAAAACATCAGGTAGGGGCAGTTAGGTGGGCAGTGCATAGAGCACCAGCCCTGAAGTCAGGAGGACCTCAACTCAAATCCGGCCTCAGACCAAATAATTGACACTTATAAGCTGTGTGACCCTGGGCAAGTCACTTAACTCCAATTGCCTAAAAAAAATCAAGTAAATAAAAAACCAGGGGGATTCTTGCCCAGATTATAACCTACAACTGCACTGGTAGTTCATTGACTTAGTCCATTCACAAGAATATTTGTTTCAAATAGATACTATAGATGAACTGGGAGGTAGGCCTCGAATAAGAGGAACAAAGGAAACTGGATTGAGTTTGGGAAATAGGTCATTGCTTTCAATAATCCCAAATTGTGGAAGCAGAACCAAGATGGCAGATTAAAGGCAGCCACCCAGCTGAACTCTCCCAATACTCCCCTATAAACAATTTTAAAACAATGCCTCAATTAAATTTTGGAGTGGTAGAGCCAACAAAAGGTTAGGGTGAGATATTTTTCCAGCCTAAGAAAACTTAGGAGATCAGTAGGAGAAGTCTGTGGCATATACTCCTTCTTACTACCCTAATAATGACAAAGAGGACTGTACTGGGAGAAAGAGAAAGGGAGATGCAGAATGGGGTAAATTGCCTCACATAAAAGAGGAAAGGAAAAGCTTTTACGGTGGAGGGAAAGAAGGGGGAGGTGAGGAAGAGTGAGTGAACCTTACTCTCATCAGAACTGGCTCAAAATGAGAATAACATATACACTTAATTTTGTATAGAAATCTATCTTACCCTACAGGAAAGTAAGAGGGAAAGGGTATAAGAGAAGGGGGTGGGAGTGATAGAAGGGAGGGCAGGAGAATAGAGAGAAGGGGTAGTCAGAAGCAAAGCAATTTTCAGAAGGGACAGGGTGAAAGGAGAGAGAGAAATGAATAAATAGGGGGAAATAGGATGGAGGGAAATATAGTTAGCAACGGTAACTATGAAAAAAATTTTGAAGCAAGTTTCTCTGATAAAGGCCTTATTTCTCAAACATATAGAGAACTGAGTCAAATTTATAAAGTAAGAGCTATTCCTCAATTGATAAGGGATCAAAAGATATTAACAGTTTTCTGATGAAGTAATCAAAGCTATCTATAACCACATGAAAAATGTTCTAACTCACTATTAATTGGAGAAATTCAAATTAAAATAATTCTGAAGTATTACCTCAGAATACTTTGTTAATAGGACAAAAAAGAAAAATGACAAATGTTGGAGTAGATGTAGGAAAAATGAGACATTAATGTACTGTTGGTGGAGTTATGAACTGATTCAACCATTCCATAGAGCAATTTGGAACTATGCCCAAAGGTCTTTTGACCCAGCAACACCACTACTAGGTCTGTATCCTAAAGAGATCAAAGGAAAAGAAAAAGGACCTACATGTATAAAAATATTTACAGCAGGTCTTTTTTTGGTGGTGGCAAAGAATTGGAAATCGAGAGTATGTCCATCAATTGTGGAATGCCTGAACAAGTTATGATATATAATTGTGATGGCATACTATTGTGCCATAAGAAATGATGAGGGGAGTAGTTTCAGAAAAACATGGCAAGACCTATATGAACTAATACAAAGTAAAGTGAGAACTAGGAGGTCATTGTGCACAGTAGAAACAATGTTGCTATGATGATCAGTTGTGAAATCTCTAATCAATACAATTCCAACAGACTCATGATGAAAACATGCTATTCACCTCCAGAGTTAGGACTGATGAACTTTGAGTGCAAACTGAAGTATAATTTTCTTGATTTATTTTTCTTGCTTTCTAAAAACAATATGGCAAATATGGAAATAGATTTAGCATGATTTCATGTGTATAATTGATATCATATTGCTTATCTTCTCAGTGAGTGTGATAGGGGGTGGGAGAGGAGAGAATTTGGAACTCAAAATTTAGAAAGAATATAATGTTAAAATAAATCAATAATATATGAAAAACTATTTTTAAAGTACCCATCAGTAGAATGATCTGATTCCAAGGGATGGACAGCCTAGAGCATCCTGAAAGGCTCTCTTCAGAAGAAAGACACATATAACACCTGGGTATCTTTATAACAATTTAAATAAAGAAGACAAATTTGCAACGACCTCAAGACATCAACTCATTTCTCATAAAGGAAGTTCTGAAAAGTAGAAGGCAATTAGTCATGCTGAGATTGTCTGCTTTTCACTGATCTTGTCAACTGAGCCTTGCTTGGCACTTGCTAAAACAAACTTCATCAAAAGAACTGGGAAAAAAAAGTCCCAAATTGTCCTCTGCTGCCAAAGTTCATCTTTAGACCTCCAGTCACCATGCCTGGGAGGACCTAAGCCTTCCTCTTGGTGATTTAATATTTTGTAGACACCAGTTCAACACCCGGGCTGCACATCTTTTATCCTTTGCCTTCACTACAAAGCTAGTCCACTTCAATTTTCTCATACACATTTCATTCATGCTTCTTTTGCTGAAATGATGCAGCTTACTCTTACCTACTGTGTGTCTCTCCTTTGTCCTTTGGGTCACCTGAAATTCTGATTCTTCTGAGAAAATGGTGTCCCATGATTTATATCCTGAATAGTGACATAGTCAAAGTGAGTGATTCTTAAGTCAACTGTAAAGGACAAGGTATCATGCTCCCACAATTTAAGATAACCTTTGACATCTTACAACATCAGCAAAGAAGTTGCACTGTTCTAGCAAGCTTGCAAAATCTTGCAACAACAGGAAAACAGGGGAAGGGGCAGCCAATGAGAAAGACCCTAGTCTCTGAAAATAGACTCTAAAGTTCTTGCTTTTCAATCCAGAGGGCAGACCAGTTTTAACCAGCCCTAAGTAGGACAAAGGGCACAGGCTTTTGGATGAGGAGGGCTGGTGCGGGGGAAGGAGGGGGGGGATGGTGCGGGGATATTGGATGGGTGGACATGTAAGATTGTAACCCAGAAAGGAATGGACCAATCCAGGCCTGGAAGGGAGGAGTCTCAGCGTTCTAATAGTATAAAGCCGTCTCTCGCTTCTGTATTGCCCGCCACTCTCTTCCTAGAGGTGTGCACAATTCTCCCAGGAACGGTAAGTAAAATAAATGATTCTTCACTCACTCCAAGCTTAGTTTCATTTTTAACTAGAAGGCTGGATTTCTCTAAGGCCTCATTTCTAACATCAACCATGGATTTTCATCCTATGTCTGATATAAGTATAAAGGAACTCCCACTACAGGCAGAAATGCTTGTCTATTACTAAGTAGAATACATAGCCTCCTCCAGACCAGGAGAGGAATCTTTTAGGCTCTAAATCCATCTTCTTGCAAGGGAAGCAGTGACTATACACTGATGTCCGACAGAAAAATTCTCAGATTATCTGGGTGAAGGCAATAAACCAGAGAAGTAAGAAATCCCTCATAGCATACTTGAACCCATTGCTACAAAATGGAACTTCTGATATAAGGATTCTATAAGTATTGACCTATAGGCCCACTGCCTAAACAAAACTGAGGGGGTGGAAAGAATGAGGTATAAATATGAAAACATAACCATCTATTCATATACACATATTGTTTTTGTTCAGTCATTCGGTTTTGTTCCATACTTTGTGACCCCATGGATCATACTGTCCACAGGGTTTTCTTGGCAAAGATACTGGAATGGTTTGTCATTTCCTTCTCCAGTAGATTAAGGGTTAAGTGACTTGCATAGGATCATACAACTAGCAAGTATCTAAGGCTGGATTTGAACTCAGGTCTTCCTGACTCCAGGCCCAACTTTCTATCTACTGAGACACTGTAGCTGCCATATACACATACATATACATATACATATACATATACATATACATATACATATACATATACATATACATATACATATACATATACATATACATATACATATACATATACATATACATATACATATACATACACACATACATATACATACACATATACATATACATACACACATACATATACATACACACATACATATACACACATGGATATGCATTGCATACATATATACATATATGTAGCATGTGAATGTGCATGTGTGTATGTGTGTGTAAGTATATATACACACATACATTTACATATATGTGTATACATATATATTTATGCATGTGCATGTGTGTATATATATATATCTTTGCTTTGATTATCTGTAATTCCATAGTGTTATTTATAACTATGCAGTTTATAATTATGTATTATGTATGTGTAATATATAGATAGGCAAACATATTCATTTATATGTATGTATACATATGTGTATTATACACATGTGTGTTATACATATACATATATAAACATAACTGCCTGTCTATCCATGTATAAATATATACTGGTGAGTGTATATATATATATATATATATGTATGCATGTATATATAAGTGAATAAATATGTTTACATATCTACATATGTATAGTTTTGTCATATTTTTCGTTCACCAGTATGAGCTCCTGCTTAGAGGATATTTTATATTTGCTACTTCTTTTGCTAGTCAAGACAAGGAGTAGTAGTACGAAGTAGGGAGTGAGGGTCATTTTATTGGTGATAGTGGCTAAAACCAACACAGCTTACTTGAACCAAATAGAATTCTTATGGATCTGATGATTTTGGAGAACTATTTGCAAGGCTAGTCATAAACAATAAACATAATTAGCTGGGAATGGAAAGGAAAGAACTTGGTGCATTGTACCAGAAAAATTGATTACACCATATAATACTAAAAAACGAGCTTAGATTTGATGAGGCTATAGCTCATCCAATTCATACAGCATATCCTAAGGGGAGGAAATGCATAATTATAAATAATGCTGTGGAATTACAGATAATCACAGCAAGAGGATGAATAGAAATGTGAATTTTGAGCTGAGCTTCTAGAACCTCTTTTCCAAGTTATCTGAAAGACCACAGGAAACACCATAGAGCAGGTAGAATTAGGGGTGATTCTTGACATTAGCTTGTACTTCCTATATAGACTTTTAGCTTTCAGACTTCTGTAGTGGTGGTTTGCCCTATATATTTTATTACAGCCAGTGCATTTCAATCAACCTGCTCCTCTTATGAATTTTGGAATAATATCTCCATTCTTTCCCAATATCTTCTAGGAAGGTTACCCTATTTTAGCTATTGTTGGCACTGAATTAAACAGGATGATGTGCTGAATCTTAATGTTCAAAGCCTATTAAGCTGGAGGAAAATTAGAAAGTATTATGCTTTACAATAAAGGGCCAAAGCAGAGCAACAATGGGCTGCTGGTCTGACTTTCATTTCTATTCCCCCCGCCAAAAAAAAAATGGGTCAGTAGAAAGCTTTTTGATTTTGTTTTTTTAATCCCATTATTTTCCCCAGTCACCTCTAGAGGTAGCTTAGAGTCTGTGAAGAACAAAGAATCTCAGTTGATCCTTTTTTCCATGGCCTTGTTCCATGCCACCACAAAATTTAATTGATACCACACACATTCCTGATTTGTTGACTACCTTATTTCTGTCTTGAAATCAGCATGAAGAGCATTCATTGTCCTTTTTAAGTCAAATAGCTTCATGCTCATTTTCTCCATTCCTGCTTTTCACTTTGCTGGGCTGAGTCAGCTTGGTTTTCCTTAGTTCTCCTTAGTTTGTTTACTAATATGGAAAATTTCTGCAAGAAGAATACAGTTTTCCTAGATTTAAAGAACTGCTTTGTGTTCCCCCTTTGTGTTGTGGATATCTAGGACATAAGAGCACTGGACTGGGAGCTGGGTGACCCTAGTTTCAGTTTACGAATTTCTATGAATACTCTAGGGGATGGGACTGTGATTTCATTGGTCTAGAAAACTCCTGGTGGGGAAACTCCCCAAGCAAAGCAAGTCAACAACTTCTCCGAAACTTGAAGTCCTTTGAGATTTCCCTAGAAGTTAAGTGATCTGCCCAGGATTGTAATCACTATACATGAGATGTAAGACTTTACCCTAGGTCTGCTTGGCTTTCAGGCCAGCTCTCTAGACATCATCCTGCCACTTGTGTGACCTTGAGAAAATCACTTTAACTCCCTGAAATTCCCTGCATCTGCAAAATGAAACAGTTGAACTCCTGATGTTTAGGATTCCTTTCTACTTGAAGTGGAGGGGATATGGAAGAGCAGGCTATGTCATGTCACATCACATCACATCACGTCACGCCACATTATGTTACGTTATGTTATAAATTATATTAGCTTTTTGTGGAGTACATCCAGGATCAAATCACATATTCCTAAAGTTGGAAAGCACCCTAAGAAGTCATCACAAAATCATCATAGGTTATTGGATCATAGATATAGAGTCAGAAGGTATCTTAGAGGTCATCTAGTCCAACACCTCAATTTACAAATGGGGAAGCAGAGGCCCAGGAAGGTTATGTTACTTCCTCAAAGTCACACAGATAGTAAGTGGCAGAGATAGGATTCTAACCCGTCATCTGACTCCAAATCCAACGCTTTCCATCATGGCACTTTGTTTTAAGTCTATCTTCTTAATTCTAAGTTGTCTGCAATGAAGCCAAAGCCAGGCAGATGAATAATGGTCAATTATATTCTTAAAATCATCAGAGAAGGATATTTTACCTCCTTTTGGGGCAATGTATCTAAATATCACAATCTGTTGTGGTCAGGAAATTCTTTCCAATGTGTAACTTAATAGAGTACCCTGTAGGCATCAGTAAATATCAAATAAACAAATTGAAAACAAAAACAAAGCCTTTGTGTTGCTATTTCATTTCATTCCTTTATGTCCTCCCCAGCATCCATAAAAATGAAGGATGACATCCTTTTTCTAGTATTTTTTCATGTACTTAATGACTGCAGATAATAGGACAAATAGGTATATGTACCCTTTTCCACACACATTAATGTGTTTTATATATCTCTATGAAATATACAAAAAAGATAAAATCACCCTCAATTTGCACATGGAAAGTGAGGCTCAGGGAGTTTGAATTACTTTTATTCATTCATTCATTCATTCAATAAGCTTTTATTAAGCACTTAGTATGTTCCAGGTACTACATAGGTATACAAAGATAAAAATGAAAGTCTCTGCCCTCAAAGATCTTCTATTCATTTTGTATATAAAGAGGTGTATGGGGTTGAGGGGTAGGCTGTGTGTGAATGAACAGAGGTATAAAGTCTATGAACTCACCACCACACTACTGACTCAAGCCTTCATGGACACCATCTCCCTCAGCTCCTCTCCCCTTTGTTTGGAGGGCTGAAGATAGAGTACCAAACTCCTCTCAATGCCTTCCTTTAAAGAAGGCAGAAACTGGACTCAGTTCACTCCACTTTGAATCTGTTGCCCTGCCTTTAACTCCACAAAATTCTTGCTAGCTTTGACCCTGACATGCATCTTCTCAAACTGAATCGCCCCCCACTTTGAAACTGAAGTCAGAACAGAGCTGTCACATTACCAGATTTCTGATTCTGTGTATCAGCTGAGTGGCAGGCATCTTAAGGTAGGGAGAGCGCCACTGGGAAATTCAAAAGAGCTCTTCTAATGCTAGCAAATGGTTTCCCTAGGGTTTGTACATCCTCATCTGCATATGCAAAGCCTTCTGGAAGTCTTTGCTAAGAAAAATAGCTATGGTTGCATTTTATACATTGT